AGTTCATGGATAACTAGCAGTGTGAAATATTGCTGCCCAGGTCAAGCCCATGAGCTGTAGGTGCAGCGGTGTTGATAAGACCCTGGCCCGGTCCCCACTCCTACCAGACTGTGGGTTTGGGCTAAGGTGAGACTGAGTAATCTGATTGACAAGAAATGTTACATTTAGTGATACAGATGCCAATGGCTTAATACATTAAATGTGGGGTATTTGTGTTTGTAAATTGGTTTAAGAAAATATTCTGATTCTTTTTATTATTAATTTTATAAAACTGAAAACTTTCATGTTAAAATCAGGAATAAGACAAGGATGCCCAATATCACCACTCCTCTTCATTATAGCTCTGGAAACGTTAGCCACAGCAATTAGACAAAAGAAAGGAATTAAGGCAATAAAGATAGGAAAGGAATAAATTAAACTGTCATTATTTGCTCATGATATTATACTCTACATTGAAGACCCAAAAAATTCCACCAAAAGACTCCTAGACTTAATTGACACTTTTAGCAGCATAGCTGGATACAAGTTTAACACTCAAAACTCAATAGCCTTCATATACACAAATGACAGACTCACTGAGAGAGAAATTAGGGAAACAATTGCTTTCACAATAGCATCCCCCAAAAATGAAGTATCTAAGAATCAATCTAATGAAGAAAGCAAAAGATCTCTACACTGAAAACTACAGCACTCTGAGAAAAGAGATCAAAGAGGATATAAGAAAATGGAAAGATATCCCCTGCTCCTGGGTAGGAATAATCAACATAGTGAAAATGGCCATACTACCAAAACTGCTATACAGATTCAATGCAATACTGATTGAAGTTCCAACAGTATATTTCACAGAACTAGAGAAAATAATCCAAAAATTTGTTTGGAACTGTAAAAGACCTAGAATAGCAAAAGCATCCTAGGCAAGAGACATGGCAGTGGGTATAACAATCCCCAATTTGAAACTATACTACAAAGTCACTGTGATAAAAACAGCATGGCACTGGAAAAGAAACAGACCTGCAGAACAGTGGAGCAGATTGGAAGATACAAAAACAACTGCAGATGTACTCAGCTACTTCGTCTTTGACAAAGGAGCCAACCATCCTCACTGGAGGCAAGACAGCTTCTTTAATAAACAGTGTTGGAAAACTAGATTTCAACCTGCCAAAGATTAAAACGAGACCCTTATCTTTCACCATGCACTAAACTAAAATCAAAGTGGATTAAAGATCTAAATATTAAAACAGAAACACTAAACTTTCTGGAAGATAAGTTAATCAGAACTCTTGAAGACATTGGCATAGGAAAAGACTTTATGAACAAATCCTCTGTAGCATGGGAACTAGCAGAAAGAATCAACAACTGGGATCTCATCTTATTAAAAAGCTTCTGCACTGCAAAAGAAACCATCAACAGAACTAAAAGACAACCTACAGTGTGGGAAAAAATTATATTGGTACATTTTAGATGCACAATATGATGACATTCATCATTGGGAATTTGTGCCTTTACATGATGTATCTTAGTTCATATTTTTTCCCATTGCCCTGCTTTCTGTCCAACCCCTCCACATTTCCCTATTTACAGACTTTGTTTCCATTTCTTCCTTTTTAAAAATTTTTATTCATTTCCCTTGTTTCATTTCTCCTACCTCTCCCACTTCCCCTTCCTGTTTAGACCTTTTCTTCCTATTTCACATTATTATACATTATAATCCTTATTATGTGTTCAATTTCT